TTTTATGGTGTCTAATGAGCGGGCACTTTGGCACCTCAACTCCGCGTTTGGTTCATCCCACATCGCCAGTTCTGCTTACCAAAAATGGCCCACTTGGAACTCGTATTCAACGCCAAAGTTCAAAATCAAGCAACTTTGACATCATACCCATTTAGAGTTTGAGAATAGGTTAAGAACATTTCGTTCCCAAGTCCTCTAATCATTCGCTTTACCGAGTATAACTACTAATGAGCTCCAGCTATCCTGGGGGAAACTTCAGAGGGAACCAGCTACTAGATGGTTCGATTAGTCTTTCGCCCCTATACCCAAGTCAGACGATCGATTTGCACGTCAGAACCGCTTCGGACTTCCACCAGAGTTTCCTCTGGCTTCGTCCTGCTCAGGAATAGTTCACCATCTTTCGGGTCTCACCGCGTACGCTCTTCCTCCACCCTACTGTAAACAGTTAGAATGGGGCCATGCTGCCCTTTTTTACAAGATCGCACGTCAGACTCTAAAGAGCCATTTACTTTCATTTCGCTTTTAGGTTTTTAACACCCAAAAACTTGCGCACACGATAAACTCCTTGGTCCGTGTTTCAAGACGGGTCGGATAGATGACCGGCTTTTACATGGGGAGCGAGTACGAGAGCATTAACTGGACCGATCTAAATGAAAAGCACGTGTCGCATGCGACCGTAACTTACAATCAGATCGAACCAATAAATGCCCGTAAACCATACTCAAATGTCCAAGACAAAAGATGCTAACGCTGTTTGGGTACCAGCAAGCTGGCCTCAAAACGGCGGTTACAAATCTGCCTCAAACATCCCCAAGCACCAAACAAGCAAATGCATCACAGAAAATTATGATGCTTCTTTCTGTCCCAATCTGGAGCTCAGAGATCACAACATAAAAATAATGTAAATGAATACTTGAAAGATACGCCGACTCTATCCGTTTCCACCTCTCCGGTTTCACGTCCTCTTTAACTCTCTCTTCAAAGTGCTTTGCAACTTTCCTTCACAGTACTTGTTTGCTATCGGTCTCGTGGCAATATTGAGTCTTAGATGAAGTTTACCACCGACTTTGGGCTGCGATCCCAAACAACCCGACTCTAAAGCACGTAAATATCGATCAATTATCTCAATGTACAGGACTTGCACCTTCTGTGGAACCCCTGTCAAGGGGACTTATTTGAGACAAAAGATTAAAAATTACGGCTTATACGCTACACCTCATAATGCCTTAGGCAAAATGATTTAGCGATGGACATTTCCCTATTCACTCGCCGTTACTAGGGGAATCCTGTTTAGTTTCTTTTCCTCCGCTTACTGATATGCTTAAGTTCAGCGGGTGCTCTCGACTGAGTTCAGGTCAAAAAATCAATATTGTTGATGATACATGCGAACAATTAAACATATCTAACAATCAATTTAAAACATAAAGAAGCCACAAAAGCAATTATACAATAAAGCTTTCGCTTTGAAAGATAATGACCCTGAACCAGACATAGCAAAGGGTTTGACCCCTATGCGGCAATATGCGTTCAAAACTTTTATGCTCAAGGCTGCTGCAGTTCGCAAAACTTATCGCAGTTTGCTGCGTTCTTCATCGATCCACGAGCCTAGTGATCCACCGGAAAGGCTAGGAATTTTGTTTTTTTTTAAATATAAAAAAAGAGTGCTGGCGTCCTCACTTAAGAGGCTCATTAAGTCTTAAACTCATTATAGTCCTAACATGTCACCACATATACAGCCACGGACGTTCACAACTGTATCAGCAACACCTAGACACCAGCGACAGCCGTTACACAACAATTATTTCATTGCGATTCAAAATTGAACATCACATAAAGTAATGATCCAGCAGCAGGTTCACCTACAGCTACCTTGTTACGACTTTTGCCCGGTTCAAGCCACTGCGATTAAATTGGTTTCCATCAAAATAATTTAGATAAATTAAATCAACGGTCCCCAAATTTCTCGAAATGGCTCAGTCCCGGGCAGCGACGGGCGGTGTGTACAAAGGGCAGGGACGTAATCAACGCGAGCTGATGACTCGCACTTACTTGGAATTCCTCGTTCACGGAAAATAATTGCAATTTCCGATCCCAATCACGGCAAATTTTCAATGGTTTACCCGCCCCTTTCAGGGTAGGACAAGCACGTTGATTTTGCCAGTGTAGCGCGCGTGCAGCCCCGGACATCTAAGGGCATCACAGACCTGTTATTGCTCAATTTCTTTCGGCTGAACGCCGCAAATCCCTCTAAGAAGCTGTATACACAAAGAGTATGTACCAACTATTTAGTAGGTTAGAGTCTCGCTCGTTATCGGAATAAACCAGACAAATCACTCCACGAACTAAGAACGGCCATGCACCACCATCCACTGAATCATGAAAAAGCTATCAATCTGTCAATCCTCACAGTGTCCGGGCCGGGTGAGTTTCCCCGTGTTGAGTCAAATTAAGCCGCAGGCTCCACTCCTGGTGGTGCCCTTCCGTCAATTCCTTTAAGTTT